TAAGCATACACACAAACACACACCTTTTTTAGTGGTTGTTGCACATTGTTTGTTCCACTTTAGCGCCGTTAGAATCATTACTGCAGACGTTGACAGCCAAAAGTCAGATTTTTGAGTTGATTGACACATGTCAGTGCGGCAACAACTCCATTTAAGTCTTTGATGGATGCTCCTTTAATACACAGACCTCTACCCTGTCTGTCTCTCTGTGTCTGTGTCTCAGGCTGGCTGAAGGAGAACAAGTTCTGATTGGTGGAGTATTGAACAAACAAAAGAGTCAGGATGACATCATCACAGAGTTTGGAGACTCGGCGTCTTTTACTCTGTCTCTACTGGGCCACATTTATTGGTAACGATGAAGTCACACCTGTCTGTCTGTCTGACTGTCAGTCTACATGACTGCCTGAACTGTCTTTCTCTCTTTGCTCCTCCCTCCGTCTCTGTGCAGTAAGACGGATCGTGTCGCTAAAGGAGCCGAATGTTTTCAGAAAAGTTCCAGTCTTAACCCGTTCCTCTGGTCACCGTTCCAGAATCTCTGTCACCTAGGTAACGCAGACACACCCGACAGCATCACGATCACGACGTCCCAATGTCAGATCATGTGATGTCATTATGGTCTTATTGTCTCTGGGTTGTTTAGGAGAGAAACCAGATCCCGATCAGGTCTTCAGGTTGTCTTCACTACAGAGCTTCTCAGTAGCCCCGCCCCCTGCGTCCGTCAGCCCTGCTCAGAACCCTTCCCATCGGTTAGACACTGCCCTAATGGAGACGCCCCAGGACACTCTGGTAAACACAACAAATGTTGAGTTTCACAAACAAGTTAGCATCAGTTCGGCAGTCTTTAAACTGAGCTGTGCTAGGCTAACACCTTTTAGGTTAGCATCAACTAACTTTAGCCTAAATCACTTTTGTCCGATCCAGGAGCTAAACCGATTAAATCTGGAATCTTCTGGGAAGTTGGTGTCTGACTTGTCAGTGTCCTATATTGACTCCCCCCTCATCTCCCCGGAGGCCGGCTCTCTCTTGGGTAATAGCGTTTCCATGGCAACAGCAGGGTCCTTATTGGCAAAACAGAACAAGCCAAAGAGTGGTTGGAGCTTAATGGGAGGACCGACGGCTTTAAGTCCACTGACACCAAGGTGAGTGCCCAGGTCATGTGACCACATGTGTCACACACAGGTTTTGTGTTAAACGTGTGTGTGTGTGTG